ATAGAATAAAAAGAAAACAGAAAGACTGTTAATACACCACGACGTAGACAGCACACAAACAATAGTGGAGGAGTGTACGAGATCATTGAATCACCTGCGACCACTGTGTAATTTCGCGTACAATCTCCTTTCGCGATAATGCACACCATTCGCTTTCAGGCACGCCCACAAGAAACTAGTGCTTTTTTTTGTTTTCTTCCCCATTTTTATTCGATCAGATGTTGGTAGTGAACCTTAGGCCTTCCTACTTGGTTTTACTAGGGAATCTTACCAAAAATTCACTTCCTCTATAGTGCAGGATTGCGGTTGGTTTTCTGTATCTTTACAATTATCGTAATTGGTTAAAAGTATACGGATGGATAAGCATACAGACAAATGTACAAGCCGACAGAGTGGTACACCAACTTAGTTCTTATACCGAAGAAGATGGGTATTGACCTATAGCGATATTAGTAGGTAAAAGGGAGGGCCAACTTCTAACCTGCCAACTTTGCGCTAGAAGTGCCGTAAGATGTCCTCGAAGTTTCATGCATACGGCAAACACTGAGAAATGTGCATTCAATGGAAACTGGCATGAAATGTGTACCATTGTCGTTTGTGGTTTTCAGCCAGTCCTTTCCACTTCAACTATGCTCATGATTCATATCGCGCATGTTCAAATAGATCGATGGCTGTCGGGTTCTTCAGAGGGGAGATGGTGTCCAAGTGCTTTCGAGAGTTATTTTTAGGAAAATATGATGAAACATTCATCACCACACATCCTCATTCTAACAAAAAGGGCTGACCGCCCTGGACAACTGGAGATTCGAGGTCTCTGTAGAAAAGACGTCGTTCGTTTCACTTGATGTTTGAAAGGAACGCCAACCTTGTGGAACGTAGTTCGTCTCAGCTGGGAGATTCCCGCGAATGGTGCAAACGAAATCTTGGATTTTCATGAAAAAGAGCAGATGTAATTAGGTTGACACGACCCACTCAATCACGGTAGGATCACTAACACATCCGCAACCTTGAAAGGGCATGCTCATTAAAACTGAAACGTATTCAGTTCTTTTTACGGGCCCCGATAATCGTGAAACTATGCACGTTTCCTTGCGAGAAATTGTAAATATATACGACCGTGAGTAGCATTCATTGTCTGCGCTATGCAAACAGTTACGACTGCATTCAAACATTGCTTGGCCCAATGCCAAGGCCCCATAGTAGCTGGCCTCGTTTACTTTAATATCGAAACATGGTTGTTGTTGCGAAATGTGTAATCAGCAAATGTCGTATACAAGTCAATCAAAGTCCGGATGCTGGGCATAGCAGCGATCACATCATGCTAATAATCGCAACTACTCGGCATAGCAGCAATCACAGCAATAGCTACTCCGTGTATAGGGAATGGTGTCACTTGTTTGCTACTCCAAAGTCAGCTTTGAACATGATCAAAGTCCTCCACTTTACCGCTCCAGGTTGTCCAGTATAAGCTATGGAAGACACAAAAACTCGGTCGTATGCAAGTAGAATCTATTTTGAGGATTATCTCCTCACGTTTTAAGCTGAGTCTGTCCGGGTGGAAGCGTTATTCATAGCCTTTTCCAAGCGTTTCTGTGTTGACTGAACATTGCTTTCGAGAGAACTTCCATTGTTTCAGAATGTCAGAGGAGTATGACACGGTGGCCCCTCCAGGTGCCAAAAAAATGAAAACGGATGAGTCAATTGAAAGAAAAAGAGTGCTATATGTTGTTCTCGAAGGTTGCAGTCTTGAATCAGCGAAGGTGAGAAGATTCTTCTTTAAGACGTCTTGCAATTCTTTCTTATTACAATATCCATGCACATTCTGTTACGTCATCATTTTCATCATACCGATTTGTTCTCTGTTTTAACAGTAAGCGACTTTTACCCTAGGTTTTTAACATTCTATATTACAACTTTTATTAGTCCCGTCTTCATCACGGGGTAAAACGTGTAGAAGCTATGGCACCGTTAACATACTAACGACTTCTTTCAACCTTTCACTTACATTGATCGGGAGCCTGTCATTTTTCATCCATTTCCCTCTCATAATTCTCCTTCAGCAAATTAGGGAAATCTCGATTTCTCGATACTTGAAGTAGAAGCTCCGTTTCCGCGTAGTGTGTTACCGCGCCGAAGTGTCACCGAAATGTTGCGGCGATTTGTGTGAAAGGAAGCGTACAGATTTTCCTGTTTTTTTTTNNTTTTTTTTTCTTACCCGTCTTCGGCTGCTTTCTTCCCGCACATGACTGCTTGCATGAGAAGCTCCTCAACCACAATATCAATCCGCAGAAGAATCGAAAGTAGCATTCCTGTGCCCTCTGTCGATTGGACTCTAGAGTTTAGCATGCCTCTCAAATGGAAGAGATCGGACCAGATTTCATCTGAGGAGGAGCGGCTTTCATTCACAGAAGGAGCTTTGCTGCGCAAATGATTTAACAAACTTTTTTCCTATGCTTCAGTTGCATTTTTCTCATGTTTGATTGTGATTTACGAAATTGTAAAGGGGAGGAGATGGGTAGACCTCTTAGAAAGTTTCAGGGATAGTACCTTTACTACAGTAATTTTTGAAGTTCTCACCGCGGCAACAAAGTATTTCGCCTTTGAATCTTCATTCTTGTGTTCCATGACTTCAGTTGTGACTTTTCAATGTTTTTTATAGATAGGAAAGGATTATGTCATCCTATGCAGTGACAAGCATGCAAACTTTCTGCGTAAGAACAAGAAAGATCCAGCGGATTACCGACCTGATATTCTTCATCAGGTAAACTTTGGCATTCTCTCTCTTTCTTGGCACGCTCTAAAATACGTGGTTGATGGAACGTCAGAAACTTTATCCTTTCACCCTTTCCAATTTACCGCAAACAAATAATTGATGTTGCAGTGCCTATTAAACCTACTGGATAGTCCATTGAATCGAGCGGGGCATCTGCAAGTGTTTTTCCGAACGAACAAGAATGTATTGGTTCAAGTCAGTCCTCAATGTCGAATACCACGAACCTTCGACAGGTTCTGTGGGTTAATGGGTAGGTTTTCTTTTTAGTAGCTGTTTCTCAGACGGTTTCGTCTTTCGTGCCAGGTGTCGCTGGTAGTTGCAGTTTCATCTGTCTTAGGGAGGTATGGCGCTACAAATGCTTTCTGTAAAATCCGCTGGCATTTTTTAACCCACTTTGCAACCCAGCGTGTTTCGGAGAATTCGTAATAAAATTCAATGTGAGTGGTCCGCGATGCCCACCGTGCTATGACGAGAGGATCTCAGTTGATATGTTGCACCTGCGGATAACATCAATTTCATCAACTCAAGTTAAGCTTTTATGCGAGCGACCTAGAAAGGGAGGAAGGACTTGTTTGTTTGCAATAATTGTTTCGGACGAAATATCGGGTCCTAATGCGTTGAGTACCTTGCATGCAAGGGTCTGAACAAGCTGTCATTTCGTAAATTGTATTTCTGAGTGTGTTATTTTAGTGCAGCTGCTTCACAAATTAGTTGTTCGTGCAGCTGATACATCGCAGAAGTTATTAACAGTAAGTTAATTACAGAGTTGTGGCATTCCTAAAAGCCTACTGTTTGTTTTCAAACTAATCCATGATAGAAGTTCTTCGTCAGGTAATCAAAAATCCGGTGTCAAATTATTTACCAGTGGGAAGCCGTAAGATCTTGATGACTTTCAATACTGATGAATTGATATTACCGAACAAACTTATGTCACCGAAGGAGGAAGCTCCCCTCGTGGTTGTTATAGGAGGTATTGCAAAAGGGAAGGTCAGTTGCACTATTTGATAAGTGTTTTTATATAATTTACGTTTTTGAGAAATCTTTGAAGTCGCTTTGTCCTTGTGCTTGTGTCGCCTCTGGGTAGGAGCTCCACCTCGACCATTTTGGCGATGTTCCGTCTGCACCTTTTTCCTCTTGCACGCGAGAAACTTCTACTGATTACTGACATTTCTTTCGATCTCTGGATGATTTTGTAACAAAGTAGCGGGTCTACTGTGCATTCTTATGAATCGCGGTGCGAGCCTTTGCCCTGTGAACGTCACTTCCTGTCATACCCAGAGCCACTGCGAGCTCTCCCATAGTTGCTGTGCTGTATCGAAAGTGCTTCGTGGATTTTCGTGCAAACTCTAACGTTCATAGGCTCGCCAATTACCATGATCAGCTAATCGTTCCAGTCTGCCTTATCCGAACTCGAGTGAGAGGCTGCTCTGGGAGCGTTTCACTAATTTCACATGTATAAGAACTTAAGCGCAACCCATCAACCCGCTATTGATGTTTATTTACCTCGACTTTTCCCTACTTCCTGCTGCTTAGCTATCACAGTTTTACTGCTTTGTAAGACAGCTTTAAAGCTCAAAAGTAAAATTCGTGGGTGGGTAGAAACTCCAGAAAGTTCTATTGCATGAAAGTTGCTTTAAGATTCCGAATTCCAAGACTGTTGGCTTATGTCTTAAAAAGCTTTGAGAGTGCAGAAACACCTACGGGATTCATTCTGTGCTATCATCTTTCTTTTCAGATAATCACCGATTACACTGATCAGGATGCGAAAATCAGCAATTATCCCTTGAGCGCAGCTTTAACATGTGCAAAAGTTACAAGCGGACTAGAAGAGATTTGGGGTGTTATCTGAAGTCGAATCGCACTTCTTTTCTCACCTTGTGTGTGCATTTGAAGTTTTCTATAGTCTTATTGTTCTGCACTTCTCAAGCCTAGTAGGGCTGAATTCGTACCAGTTATTGTTTGTTGGCTGTGTATATTTCGTTGTTGTTTTTCGGAACTTTGGCTGTTTGTTGTTGGAATCATCACTTGTTTTTGAGATGTTCTATTCTCCAAATTTTATGTGCAGGTGTTTTGTTTCATTGTTTTGTGAATTACGTTGTTGTGAAGGAATTTACCATTTTCGTATCAAACTGTTTCTGCATTGCATATTCTCCGATTAATAATGATGCGCTTTTAATAATATGAATTCGAAAATTACTCAATGACTTGTGTGGAGCAGGTGGTCTACAGTCCGTTGTAATTCTTCTAGACATACTGTCTACCTTTTAGCAAATCCCTGGAAGACGGATCGTCCGTTTCGTCCAGCAGGACGGCGGCGCCGATGGGTTTTAGCCCATCAATCAATAGGCTCTACTAAAAGCAAGGTTTACTAGGACGAAAATTCAGTCCGGCACTCGGCTCTTACAGTAACCCCCTGGCTTACTCCACCTCTCACCCCGTGTCCTTGCCCAAAGCCCCTTTTTGACGCGTCGTATATATGACGGGTAAAAATTTGCGTGTTAACACGTGCCGAATTACTGTAAGAACCGAGTGCCGGACTGAATTTTCGTTCCTGTGCAAGGTTTACGAGATCTACCCCTTTTTTTAATGAAAACTCTGCTGACTAATTTTGCTGCAGATCACTAATTACGCGGAAGCAATACAGCATCCTTACTGTAATAAGTTTGGGCGTCGAAGGAGTAAAGTATTTTCGTTTGCACCAATTGCGTAGCATATCACGACGAAAGCGAGAATTGTTTGAATTCTTCTTTATTACCGTGCTCTTTCAATACCATGATATATTGAGTTTCTCTGAGACGACGATTCTGACTGATTGGCTGTAAAAATTCTACATAGCCGGAATTGCTCTGACGCGAGCGGGCTTTCTAAAATAGATTCAATCGTTATGCTTTTTTTATTTTCCTAATTACTATGGGATTCGTTCGTAATATTATCTAAACGGGTATGATCTGTTCGGGATTGTGCGAGTTTCTCACTATCCGTCTTGATATAATTCGAAAACCGTGGTCAGAACTATTGATTCGCAAAATGGTTGTAGTTTCTCTTTCTCCAAGGAAAGTTCTGTGTTTGCTTGCCAAAAAAAAANAAAAAAAAAAACTCGCCCGGCGTTCTCAGGGTTTAGGTTTATGTGACATCCTGTTTACGAAACAGTTGGTACACTACCTATATTTTATTGAATGATTAGCTTAAACATTTGGCTGAAGCTATCTGTCAGTAGCTGGTATGTATTCGTCGATTATTTTGACCCTAGCGGCTCAGTTTTTTCTTTGGAATCTAGTCTATAAAGTAACTTGGTACCCTAGTAACCAATGCGATATTCTAATTCAACGCCAACTTGTGAAGGGTCTTCCTTGAAATCGGAGCCTAAGTGCTCCTGAACACGAATATGTGCACATTTTTAGCTCCTTACGTAGTACCCATCCACTTCTACACCTCTTTGACCGAAGGACTGGATAAATAGTTGTAACCATTGGGTTCTGTCATGAGGGGAGGCGCTAAGGAGGCTAGGGGAGGCTAGAGCGGCTGAAAGGATGGGCTTCTGTTTCAAGGGTTTCAGTTTTTTACAGGAGACACTGGGGGTTGGTGAGAAAAAGGCATTGATTACGGAAGTCTCCAGGATCGATGAAGTCTACAATGTATGAGGGATACAGCCAGGTCTGTGGCCTTCGTGGGAGGGAGCAGTATCTCATTCCGCACCCAAACGGGAATTGGAAAAACTGGCTCATTTCGAAAGGCGATTGCGTTCATTTTAGTTGATTGAAGTTTTCCATCAGTTATAGTACGGGAACCGGGTCAACGGCGACATGTAGTTGAGAGTTCCAAGTGATATCTTGACTTTTCATTTTTGTATGAACGTCTCATCGCTGAAACTCTAGCACAAGAATGTTCTTCGTTAAGGATAGAGTGCTATTGGGTTTGGCTTGAACATGGTGATTTTGTTGTGTAGCACAGTGGAGTCATTGGAATGAATTGCTCATATATGATCATCACATTCCTTCCGCAGTTGTCCTCGCTTAGATGTGGATTGAGTTGCTTCGATGGACAAATCCATAAAACGTTGTACAGTGTATCGTGCTCAATTTGTATTTGTCACTTCTTAGTCATTTTAATGACAACTCTTTGCAGCATTGCATCCTGCTCCCACCTTCCTCTTCATTGCCAGCGGTGTGTTAGCATCGATGTTTGCGACCAGCAACTGTCAGTCTACCTTCGGATAAGGTGGGCATTCTGAAAGTTGCACATCAAGTTGAAAAAAGTATAATGATATGCCATAGTTCAAGAGTTGCTTGAGGGTAGCCAGGCCACTTTCTCTCCAGCAAACTTGAAGGTTCTTCCACTTGTTGTAATGTAAGCAGGTGAAAATATTTGAGCACTATGAGACTCTGGTTAAACGGAAAGTAAGAGAACTCATTTCAACTTATTTCATTTGTCTAGCACTAGAACTACCACATACTGTTTGCAGTCTGCTAAGTTGCGTTTAATTCCATTGCTTTGGTGAAGAAATAGTGAGGGAAAGATTACATTTACGAGTTTCTGGAATTTAAAGGCACGGTTCACGAAAATAGGTTTCGAAGCTATATTACTAGATTGAATCTGTGGCATCCAAGTATACCATATGTAGAGCTGTTAGATCATAAAACAACCTAGGTGAGGGGTTAAAGGGCTCAGAAATTGAATGGGCTGTACGCCACACCCAAAAGCGGGCGAGTCTCAACGGTGTTTTGAAGGCTGCACCATTCCCAATTGACACCCATGTTGGAAATTCAAACGGCCCGATTGAAAGTCATTTTGGGCATTTTTCCAGATGAGGCCAGTTAGTTGAAGGCGATTTTGAGCATTCTTCCTGATGTAGTCATCTCCTTACGCTTTTGTAACAGGTGAAAACTCATCTAAGTAACTCGTTCATAGCCTCTTCGTGATGATAATCTCGTACATCTACTTTCATCACTTTGAGAAGCCTTATATTTTATGGACTCTGACGAGATTCGCTTTCCTTGATGCAGTATTTTTTTTCCAATACTCACGCTTTTCAACTTAGAATGATACCTCATAGTCATCGTGAATTGTGCCTTTAGGTATTGTTCTTGCCGATTTGGTAAAGGCCATTTTCGATCCTTCGTGCTTGACCAGTTAAATAATGTCTCTTTACTCGACTTGCGCATTCGTACAAAGTAAAATGCAAGAACCACTCAAATAAGTCACGAATTGTTTTTCCTCATTGCCTATACCAATTTTTCCTGTAAGTTCATCCAGATTTTTGTTTCAGAAAATGGATGAGGCAGGATCATCTGTCAGTCAGCCTCTAAGTCGCTCAGTCAATGGCGATATCAGCAGAAACAAGCGTAACAGTGCTGTGTACCTGCTGCATTCTAATGTTAGAAGTGGGTGAAAATGTTTTCTCTATATCTTTTCCCGGAGATGATCCATTTCCGCATTCTCTCTGACAACACTTTCGCTTGCTCTCAGCTATTCGTGGCTCTTTGGAATGCTAAGTTTTTTCCCCGCTGCATGTGAAAGACTTGATGAGCGTGAAGATGTATGGCTAATCTATACCACGAGCGCTTTGTTAAAATGTAACGAAAGTGTCGGCGGACATCCGCTCCTTGACCACCGTTCTTGATTTTGAAACTGGTGGATGTGAAATTCTGCCTGCAGCACCACTCGTATCACCGTTCATCCCTTGATCATGGATTTGCTTAAGCGGCCACCCCGAACGTCTCAACTCCTTCCTGTCTTGATCCAGTGTAGCCCAGTGAATACTTTTGGCTCTAGGAGTATGAAGCATATTATTCCTTTCGTTCAGAGTTCTGACGATCGCGCTGGCAGCCGTCCAGGTGTTCGTTTGACGTTTGGAGAGATCCGGTCAGTAAATGCCTGAATCCAACGTCCTCAGAAAGCCGCATGACGTGTTTTACTCACCTGACCTTCGATTTCCTGGAATGAGTAGCAACATCCCTGATCTTCGCTCGTTGACGAAGCCCGGAGCTCCGGACCCCCTTACACTCGCGTGAATCGGAATCCCAGAGTCTGGTCCGTTTTAGAGCGCATTAGACGATGTTACATGCAGAATAGGCATCCATAAATCCCATTGCTTCCCTATACGAGGTCATTCTAACCATGTCAGCAGTTTTTGCACTAGTCGAATTGGTTTGTATAAGTATCGCCCTGGCTGGATCATCTAGCCAGCTGCTTCAAGTAGGAAAAACTTTGTGACCAGCTGCTATATGAGGTACCCCTAACTGTCTGGATGCCATAGAATGTCGTAACTATTAATTTGTGACCCTCTCTAGTCGTACATTGCATTCTTCCACTACAATAGATTTATTTTCTTCCTTTCAGTCTTTTCAAATGCAATTACTGCTCTCAGTAAACTCGGTGATGAACTCTTTCTTCGATCTCAACAACGTGGCGTGAGTGATCCTTTCAATTATTGTGCAAAAAATGTAAATTTGGTATTAGGTTGGCAAATAAGTCCTGCGACAAAATGGAGACCTTTTTTTAAACATTTCTAATTTTCTTCATATCAGTCAATTTCCGGAAAAAATTTGACCGAAGAAGTCGACAACCTCCTTTTATCCTTGGAGCTAATCACTGATGCCATGTCTTCAGAAGTGAGGGAGCTGTGACTCAAAGAAGTAATTGACTGCCCTTTTTGGATCACATTAAGTTGCGAATTCTTTTTTCCACAACGGGATGCTCAAAAAGGCGGAGCACATGGTAGGTAAAAGGGGGAACACTTAGGGGGTACGACTGATGAACAACCTGGAACCAGTTCGAATCGTAGAACTTTTGGCGTGCGTTTAAAGCGAACTTTCGACGTGGGTTGCCACACTGTAGGGACCTGATTTACGGTTTTGATCGTCCTTCTCTAACCCCGTTGGCCGATTAAAGGGGATCATAGGGGCAAGCGATAGCTGTGTCTCTCTAGTCTGCGTTTAGCAACTATAGTGAATGGATTCCTTCAACCTCCACTAAATTAAGGGACGATGCTTGCGTTACCCCGAAGGCTAGTATCTCCTGCAGTGAAGCGATCCAACCGATTGTTGACCGTCGATCGGTGAGCAGTGCTTGCATCGAACAGACTGTTGATATTTCGAGCCGCTACACCCGCGTTTTTCCCTTGGAGTGCCTGGTAGAAGGTGTTGGTACGAATCGGGTGTTGTCCATTCATTGACCGTAATGCTGCCCACTCGCGTGCCCTTGTTTACCCATGTGTTGATTGCCCGGGGAACTTCCTACAAGTTTATCACCCTTGCTACCGTGTTCACACTGTTGATACAAATTTTCAACGCTTCCATTTTTTTGTCGCAGGACTTATTTGCCAACCTAATATTTCCGCTTGTTTTTCTTTAATAGTTCTATAGTTTTTCAAACGTAGGAAAAGGTTCCCCGTTACGATTTTACCTTGATTGCGTCACCTGGCTGCCCCTAACGCTCGATTTGCCCCTTCACTGTTCGGAGGCTAGGCTCTCAAATGTTTCAAGGATCGGTACAACCTAGCCTCCTCCTATCCTATCTTCTCCAAACGGCACAAGTAAAAGTTGCGTCAACATGACTATAGTTGGATTGAGTCAAAGTTTGAGAGCGCTTATTTATCTAGCAGAGCAGCAACGATGAATCCGTGCCAAATTGTGATGTTATCTGCCTGATTTCCTTGACCGTAATAAATCTTCATCTGGTCCCGAACTAACAGCCTTCAAGCCATCTCTAATTTTTATTCATAGGGTAGAGTAGGGGAAATTTACAACTGAGTGAACGCAAACTGTACATTGTACTTGAAACCCTTCATAGCGAATGAATGGGACAGGTTTTCTGGCACTGCCGTTTGCACAAAAATTGTCAGAAAAAAAATTGGAGCGATTTTTTTTTGATAGTAAGCTTTTTTCTTTTACCAGCCCAATTTCAGATCTGTCTAAAAGCTTTCAACAAGACTCGATCGGCATATGGCGTTTTTCTTTTTACGGATGATTTTTTCTCGGATATTGACACAAAGTGTATGTCATCTGATATGGCCAAGGACTGTCGATTGTCGATGAAGGTACGTAATTCCCTTTTGGGTGGGCTTGAGGACTGTATCTAAGCGGAGATAAATATGATTTTCAAGTTTCAATTAGGCATTCCGTTCAATCTAACCGCACATTCTCTTGCCAATCAGTTATGTTAAATGACATTCATAACATTTACAGCCATTCTATTTTTATTCAGTCAGGGTTAATTTAATTGAAGTCATGCATCTGAATTGAAGCCACCTCCTCCTTTTTCCTTTTTGCAGAGTTTAATATATATCACGGTTGTGAATAGGCACTTCGAATCACCTTTGTGTTTCAATGAGTACGACTATTACAGACTGCCTTGTCAATATTCAAGAGTACGTATTTTGTGGAAAAGAACCTCGTTTCTTGTACGCTTACTGTAGATATTTTTGGTCGTGAGCTTCATATTGATTTCCAGCATTCATGTGGTTAGTTCGTAGAAGTGCTTCATTTTTTCTGTTAATTGTTGTTTTACACACTATACTCACCTCTCAAGGGGCGGAAGTGGTGTAGTGACAAGTGGCGCACTATCTCACGCGCATGGTCAGGGGTTCCAGTCCATGATCGATATCGTCCAGGTCAACCAAGCCTTCCATTCCTTCGGGGTCGGGTAACTGGTACCAGGCTTGTCTGGGAGGATAGCACTGACTTTTACATTGGCTGGTCAGCGCAAGTATAAGCCACATACTCAGAACGCCCCTGAATGGAAGTCGAGTGCGGGGGTGATCAGACGGAATTGATTTACGCCAACAATTTTATCCTTTATCCTTCACTCACTACTCAGAGGTCTTATTGACCTGCACGTGCGTGCTTCCTTAGCGATTGTAATCGCTCATGGCAAGTGTGAAAACATTCGGAAATGGCAGCAACAGCAATTTTGAATGAAGTAATATTTTCTTTGGAAAGAGAAATAGAAACAGCTAATCGTATTTCGATGTTTAAGTCTGTGCTCGGATCATATACTAGTCTCTTATAGTGCTATCAACTCCTGAGAACGATTGTTCGTGTAGAATAGTTGGCTTACTGGATCGTACAAAAGGTCCTAGTTGAGACAGCTAGATTTTAGCGTTAAAGGAGAAGATAGAGAAGATAACGGTGAGAGTGCGCTCAATTAAGGAGGCTAGAAATCTCAGTGGAGTGGAACAAAAGTAGTAGTATAATTCGAGTTACAGTAGTTGCGGTAAAAGAAGAATCGTTTGCTGATATCGCCCCAACATAGGTGCACTGTTCAGATACTTTATTCCCGCGGGTCGAGCACTTATAAAAAGATTCAGATGATGAGTTGGACTGAGCAGTTGTGAATAACTTCACCTTCACAAAGATCTGAACGTGTTTGCAGACGTTTCTCGATTATTCGATGTAAATGTGATGGAAAAGCACAAGCCGTTTACTTCTGATATCAGCAAGAGCGATTTGTGCAATGTGGTCACCGTCAATGCTTTGTAGGTATCATCATTTTATTCAAGCTTGTTGAAAGGAGCATTTGTGAATTTGAATTTGATTAAGATCAGCCTATCGTTCAAGTGGATGCTGAGAAACATTCATGCTTTAAGCCGTTCTCTGAATGAGTATGAAAAACTCGCAGAAGCAGTATTCTTCTCATTACAGTCCCTTGATTGTCGTTCATTCAAAAGCACTGTTCACGTTATTGCTGAGATATCTAGCTTAAGAGAAGCGCTGGAAGTTATGATGCAGGGTAGTGCAAAATGGTGATGCATGCGCGAAAACCTAGAACTCTAGGAAATACAAGGCTTCAAAGAAGTAGGGAGGAAGTTGTACGAGATTAAGTCCCTGTAATCGTCTAGGTGTCTTCCACTCAGACGTACTACTCGTCCATGTCATTGCGAATGGTACGGCCTCGACGAGGCCGTTATAACATGGTCAAGTTTGTATGAGTACGTTGACCATCCCCAGCTCTTATAACGCTTTGTCCGTTCAGAAGGAATGGAGATTGCACACAGTGAGGGACTGTATACCAACATCAGTGTTCAGCCTGTGACGAAATAAATATTGGTGAGACGGGAAGGATGCTGGGCATACGCGTCAAATAACATCTAGCAAGTAAAAGGCGAGGAAGCCCATTCACGCCACTTGGGAGGCATCGGTTAGAAGAACATCACGGCAGAGATTTTTATATCAAATGCAAAATCCTAGCTTACGAGAGTGAGTTCGGTGCCAGAAAGATGTTGGAAGCGCTGTACATCCGCGAGAGGAATCCTAAGCTNAACAACCGAAATGAGTGCATTGCCATAACGAGTGAACTTCTGCCATTCGTACCCTTTTGTGGGGTTTGAGATCACCGCGTAATTCTTATCTCACGACCGTCAATGGTGTCTCATTGTTTCCTTGTTGTTCACGAAATAGAGTGGGACGACAGCGCTGGTGGAACCGCAGAGGGTTGGTTTCTTGGCTGGGATGTTTCGGTGTTTGAGTTTCCGGGAGCTCTTGCAACCTAGTGCGTTTGGGCGCTTGGTTGGGTAAGCCACAGATCAGGAGCTTCGAACTACTTTCAGGTCTCTGAAGACGGCGAGTTAGTCGGAACGTCGACCAAATAAACGGTTCCATTATAACAAACCTGTACGGCAAAGAATTGTGAAATATTATGTAACATGCCCAGGTTTCAAGAAGACCGAACGTGGAAATTATTAAGCTTTGTCGAGGTTTCATCGACCCGACAATGTTGCTATCGTTGGAAGCCACGGGTTCATATTAGGAGAGAACTTCGGCAACCATTTCTACCGTGAACTGTACCTTTCATCTTACAATCAGCCAATTCATTAAATTATTAATGTGTTGCCATATATGCGGGGCTCATGTTCGTTCTGCATGAAGAATTGTGTGTTTTCAACGCTTTGCTTTTGAGAGGTTATCTAGTTCTAAATTGCAGACCAAGTCACAGTTCTGATTAAAAATTATTGTCAGAAGTTGAAGGGCAAACCAAAAGAAGGAGGTGGAGAACTCTTTTGTTCGTAATTAATAAACATACATAAATATCAGCATGTCGGAAGTCTCGTAGTCGTGTATGTGATGGTGCAGGTGTCCAAAGGATGTACCTCATACCCTGATGATGAAGATCGGAGCACAGCTGAGTAGGTCACCATCTAGTCGCCTTTCCTTAAGTATGAATGGCAAAGAGAGGGAAGACGAAAAGGAGGGGGCTGTAATCACAATGGGCGAGGGATTCAGTGAGGTCTTCGCGTGAGTTGTAAGGATTGAGCGTGAAAACTGCAGTACCAAAACTTTTTTTTATTGCTTAACGGCAAGGTAATGATTTTGAACAAGTGTTTCCTTCAGTGAGATCGCCGCTTTCATCAATGACATGCACTCTGGATATGAAGAGCTGTTGATGAGTGTACAAAACGACAAAATCATCTTTAAAAATTTTGTACAATTTTCAGTAGGTAATTCTTCGTATACTATGTTTACATATGTACTTTCTCTGCATTTTTCGGGGCATAGAGCCACAATCTTACTTCGCTGTTATGATTCTGCTTACTTTTCTGAAAAGCTCGTAATTTGAAGCACCAAAATAAACTAAGATGTCGTATTTGGATACCTTTCGAGTTATGAGTTTTCCAGTAGTGGTCCATTGCTGACAAAATTCTCATATTTTAGAGATGATGGTTGTTGTGTTGTGTTAAGCAGAAATCTTGCCGTTTCTTTAAATAGTTATATAATTTTTTCCTGACAAATTGTATGCCATTTAGAGCGCAATGATGGATCTGCATGCAGAACGGAAGTTACATTACAAAGATCTTGCTTCATAAAATTCTCCGTGCAAAAAACAACGGAGATTTGTTTCTGTATGAAGGAGTTCAAAGTAGGCCATTCTAATACAATGCTTGCATTTGCTAAAGTCTTGTTGCGAAGGTAAGATTGTATTTATTTTTTTTTTTTTGGAGGCAAGCATTTCGAGTACTGAAGAAGCTAAAGCACGCTTTTCGCTAATGGTCATTCAATGTACAACGATGGCAGTAGCTGCGCGCTCCTCAGGATCACTTACCGTATCATTCATAATGGGCTGTACACTGTAGTAGCCAGCATACTGCACGCAAGTATAGGTTCTTGTGGGAGCTTCTGCTTCAGTGAGGAGTCTTATCCACGGAGCACCTCATTAGACTCAGTAGACTCAACCGGAGTTCAGGAGTAGAACAGGAAAACAATAGTTAGCATTCCATTAGAAACAAATCGAAACAACAGCCGAGTGCATACCTCTCTCGAAGGGTCTCTGCCAATATTATGTCAATAGCTCGCCACATCACAAAACTCTAAAGTTAAACCAATTACTTGCTTCCTCCGACCTGTAAGTTTCTCGATGAGTTCAACTTTCCAGGCCATAATTATGTTTGCTCGTCAACATGCCTGTGATGTCAATTTGTTTTTTGACAAGCCTGGGAGGTTAGTGACATTTATGAAGGGATATACAGCTTTTTCTAATTCTAACTCGAGAAGTGAAAATGGAATTGACCGTAATACTTTCAAGGCCATTGATAGTGGCAGTTGAAAGCGATGCCGGATATTCAGCAGAATTTATCATCGCTACAATGGATGGCGATGATATATCGGATGAAGGTTCTTTGGGACCGACCCAAGAGTAAGTCTAATAGTGCCCATTCTCAAGAATTTCAGTATTTTTCAATCCTACTCTTGAATTTTTACACTCAGACCGTCTCATCCAGTGGAGACCTCGGCAAGGCTGAGTCAGGAAACTGAGAGATCTTTACAAATGTAAGTCTATAGCAATTTATTGCTTGTATGCTTGTAATTGCAAATTTGCTCCATTGAAGCAGTTAGTGTTTTACAATGATAATGAAGTAGTCAAATCTTGCGATGATGTTGTTACTCTCCCTCGCAGCTGAAGTTACCGTAATGGTTTCTCTAGTCTTATGCAAACTTTTAAGCCTAAACGACCAAGATCGAGAAGCCAGTCAGCAGACTAGTCAAACTTCCTCCAACAGCGCTTCAACCCAAATAAATGAGTCTCTTCCGAAAAGAGTGAGTACGGTAATGTGTAGTTTCAATGAAAAGAGTTGGTCATGTAGTCGATGAAAACCTAATTGAAGGTCACCAATGAACCTGAAGATGAGTCGATGGTGAATGCTGATCATAATGAAAGCCAAGCATTGGTTGATTACATGATCATGGACGACCTCGTATTGGGAGGTGAAACGGCCCCTGAAGTTGCTGCTGAACCTGTTGCAGAGGTGGTTACGTCTGAAAGACCTGCCAATATGAAGAATGGTGTGAATGTCAAGGTACGTTCAGTTTCTTTATATACACTATTGTGGTATACCCATAGTGTGCAGAATTTCCAACCAATCCGTAGGGGGGGGGGGGTAAAGAATTTGAAGCTAGCAGCGGGAAAACGTGCCAGTCCACCTAGATTAGGCAAACAGTGCTAATACGGGCTCGGAAGGTGCCCTTCAAAAAACTTCTTTAGTTTTGCTGTGTTGAAACCATTTAGCGGTTTTATTCTGTGATCTTTTATTAGTGGCTAGAAACGTTCTTTTCAGTTTCAACATCGTTTTCTCGGGCTGGACACCAGAACACAACACCAAAGCCAAGCTGCAGCCGCTGGTAATCCGATTGTCGAACCCACCCAGCTGCCACCATCATGACGGTGATTACGTTTGTCAGTATTATTATGCGTGCAGTATCTATTTACTCTGTATATATGCCATTTTAAGAATAATGCACATATGTACAAAGGGGTCCAAAAAGCTGACTAACGTGTGGCTTGGTACAGCAAGTTGTTTTGCAACCAGATCTTGTGCATCCTCCAAAACCACCCAGGTTCTGGATAGATAGGGAGCAAATACGTAGCCCGCTGAATTTATCGCTGATGAACACACCTTCTTGAATGGACGCGTTCGCCCCATTTGAATGTAATGAATAAACCGAATAATAGTACGACAACCTGGCAGCGATCTTAAGTGACGGCGCCGCTGATCTTCTGAGCCCTTGAAGTATAGTTGGTGGTGAATTGGAGGAACACAGCACCAGTCGGCTGGTATAATACTTCTTCCCTCCTTGGTGATGCTCCTGCGTGCTTCCCATTTCGCCGATTCCGTACGCTCGGCCTGAAGCCTTCAGTGCGATTTCATCGAAAAAGTTCAAGTAGCTCGGTTGTGCGGAGGGGTTCGGTCCGTTGAGTTTAAACGAAGTCCGCTATGGTTGAGCGTGAGAAATACTAACTTCTGCAACAACCTCTCACGTTTAATGCTTTTCACTTATTCAAGTGTAAGTTGAGTCATTAGCAGGATATCTACCGCATCTCTCACGTATGCCGGGATATACCTGGGGGAGGAAGTTTTAACCGAATTCGGTCAGCCTTCAATATTCCTGCACAAGCTGGGATATTGACGCTGCGTCCCAGGCAAGAACTGCCAGCAATTTGGTTGGGGTGGTATTTTTTCTTACTCGGGATTTCGCTCCGTGGCCTCGTTGTGAGTTGGTTTGAAATCCTAACTGAGTTGTCACTAACTGTGGAAGACTCTGTGGAATGCATGTTACACATCAAATTCGGCATCCGCGGCTATGACTACTCTGGCCTGGGAAAGTGGAAGGATGCGTTGCAGATTCTGTCAAGTTTGCCGGTTCCACGTGGGCGGTCGGTAACCTGTGTCTCGAAGTTCCGGTGCACTCCCATGACCCCTCATACTGCTAAAGGGCACCATGGCCGACTGGTGCTGACTTAAGCTGCAATGCAAGTTCCAAGGACTTCAGGCTTAGGGTTCCATTGCTTCTTGTGACTTCATTTTTGGGAGTATAAGAGTCGAGCTGAGCCTNCCCCCCCCCCCCCCCCCCCCCCCCTCTTTGTTCTGTCTGCCGAGGGAAGCAGCTTGCTTGAACGATCTCTCTCTCATTCTCTTCACTAAGTAATCCTTCGCTCTTGTTCATTTCCTTCGTTTTTTCTTTCCTAGATTCGTTAACTTACAACTATTTTATTTGCTTTCATTATAGCTCTCAGTTAATGCTTTAATTATTATTCTTCTGAGTCACGCTGTCAGTCCTGCCACGCCTGGTGTAGCTGGTGCGTCATAGAACGCATGATTAAATAAATTCAGATTAAATATTGTTTTTACCCCGATTTGTATATAATAACTTTTCTTTTGCAGAGTAAAGCGACTTCTCGATCTGCACGAGTGCTGGACGCTTTGGATGGATATAGAATAGAAGGAGCTGTAATATTATGTATTCGATAGGAACATTTCTATGTTATTCAACACCTCTGTAGAAAGTTCAGATCTCGATTAGAATACATATAATATGCCTTTTATGAATACCGAGTTATAATTTCGAATCTCTACTGCATTCCTAGGTCTTTCCAGCATCCTTGCCTACGCCTTCGTTGATCTTCCCGAAGATTCTTCCATTCTAGTTCTGTCACTTGTCCAATCTTTTCGTATCCGATAACAGCTTCGGCTTTTGACCTCTTCTATGTATGTTGCTATTTTTTTGCCTAAAGCTTGACCGCAAATCATAGCTCCTGTTTCCTTAGACCTAGAGCGTTGGAACTTGTGGGAGAACAGGCAGCATGGTGGGATTTTGATTCCATGGCAGGAAGCAGGGCCAGACTCCGCCTACAGGGGGCGGAGTTTGCGCGGAGGAAATGTTTGAGCAGAAATTCGTAACTCCTGTTCCTCTAGACCTAAAGAGTTGGTGATTTGGTAGGAGGCAGGCGGCGGGATAGGAACATATTCGATGGGCAGCAGGACTGGTCTCAGCTTTTCGCAGCTTGCCACACAGCTGGTCACAGCTTTTCGTATTAATAAGGGGTTTTTTGGCCTCTCACTATGTGAAGTAGGATATGACGGGATCGTAGCTATTCTGTGACAGGGACCGATTACAACTGATAAGAGAAAGCAGGGCGCCTAAGTGAGCAAGAACCACCTACCGATCAAAATCTCAGTGCCTTCGGTATTTACGATTGTACTGTATGTTTCATTCGATAAGGCTAATAGAATAGACAATGTAGGATCCCCTTTGTTCCATATAATTTGCGACAAACCTTAAACTACCGTCAGTTATCTAGAATATCTGGAGTTAATGATATCTCTGTAAAGAAAAAGGTTCATTGATATCGATATCTGATAACGGTATTATCATCACTCGAAACATTTGTGAGTACTGCCCATGGCTCTAATTGCCTAACAGTCGAGTCTTTACTGAGTTCTTATTTTTAAGGGAGAGAGCAGAAGATGGAGACTTCCGATTAAAGGCGTAAGCACCGACTTGCGCTGAGTACCGTTTGCATTGCCCTGTTGGTCCTATGTCAAACTTCGTGCCCAGGGGGATGTTATTTGTTTCAAAGAAAGAGTAGAGAATTAGCCGATTACTACAGCTTTGCCGAAGAAGGGGTGAAGCTCGGCGATAGCCGTGCGAACCGTCTGGTTCATTGCATAAGCGGAGTCAAAAGCAAGTTCCATTCCATTCGTCCATCGCTACTCTATAGGGGAATGAGCACTCATAGGCTCATTGCAATTTTTTTTCATCCACGGCCTACCCACTTAAAGAGACATACTACATATTGTTGTACATTTTAGGTTTTTCAAAGTGGTAACGGGTAGTTGCATGGGTCGGTATTAGCGATTTTTCACTGAGGCACTTCTGTTACTTACATCCGACGCACTAAGAAGTGTCGCTGATCAGCTATAGTTCTATCTGTGACTCTTCGTATTAAATTTCTCAGATTATAGGTGCAGGAAAGGACCTTCCTGCGTTTGGCCTCTATTCAGAATCGTGTCGAGTTTTTGAAATGCGCCTAGCCAGCCAAAAGTGTCATAACGGTGTTCTCGGGTTTTGTTGTGTATTAGAAACCTGGTATTCGAATAAAAGAGTCATTTTCAAGTATTTTACTTATTATCTGGAGAAGATAGCAAAGAATGCTAGAGTTTCTTGTGACGGAATTGTTAATAGTCAGCGGTTGTTTTTTATTTCAACGATGCCTGAGAAGGGAAATTTTACAACCCATTCGAAAATTTCTGGAACTTCAGCGTGTAGGGTGAGAGTGTGAAAGGTATAATGCTTCATTCATGTTACCACGACGGCTGCCTTCAAGCTCATACTGATCTTAAGCGTATTCTCGTTCCGTTTTAAAGTGGTTGCAAGAGGTTCACTCATATTTACTGTGTTCAAGAAATTGTCGCTGTATGTATGTTGGTCGTAAAAATGGGCATTATCTGAAGAAAAACTTGGGGAGTTTTGGTCTGATTCAGAATGGGTCAGTGCATGAATTGTCCGACCTCTAACCAGGACTAACAAATCTTGCGCTAAATTTAGTGGTGCCGAAGTCAAGATATCAGTGATGCTATCCTCTTGCGGGCAAAGGTAAGGAACAGATCAGTTAATGAGTGTGGAGCAGCCTCGTCTTGGAGAGAAGATATCGAAAATGTCAAATGGACGCAATGATTCTACTAGAATTCATAACTTTCCTGACTTTCCTGAGACAGCCATCGGGCTAGGAAATGCTTAACATGGATTTGGTAACTACCAGGAATGTCTGAAACCCCCCTCCACTAGGTGGCGTATATTACTAGGCTGATGCAAGCAAGACCTGAGACATTCAGATGCACGTTTCGAGTTGATTTACAATTTTATTCAAACCCCCACCAGATTACATTGTAACCATTATGCTCTATGACATTCATACTGTAAGCGGAGACGTCGTCTATTCTCTAATCCCAAGAAGAGAGGAGAACCATGAGTCAATCAAATGTGGCGAACCTCTCGTTTAGGAGCTGCTTGTGCCCAAAAGATGTGATAGTCACAAGGAGCTTGGACAGAGGAAATGGGTTAAGGAGCGTTTATCCAGCCAAGTAGCACCACAGCGGAACCTTCATCGGGTGCTGTTCTTGTTTGGATTGCACGGTCGGATCTTCCCAGGAGGAGACCCTCTTATTGTCATTTCCCCGTGTCTCATCTACAAATCCAGTAGAAACCTCTTCCCACTCAAGGTGTGGAGGAGCGATCAGCTGATCGAAACACGCGTATCAAGGAGATCGTCCATTAAAGATTGGTGCGGAATCCATAAGGCCCGGAATCCATAACCCTCATACGGTGTTCCTGAAGTTGTCGATCAACGTTGCTTCGATTGCACTTGAGAAGCGTCACCGATTCCCTGCTCGTAGTGTCCGGGTTCTTCTTGATTTTGCTGAGAAGTTGATCATCTGCGATTGGGTCTGGTCGCCTGGACGGGGATCATTTCGAGCGTTAAAGTTCCTAATGAAAGTGAGCGAACAAGCGACCGCGCATCAGCCTAATATCAGACTACAGAAGTCATTTGTAGAATTATTGGAGGCTGAGATCCAACAGAAGGAGTAGGCTTCACAGCCGATTCAAACTCAGGACAATCGTAACTATAATAAGGAGCATTCGCTTTAACGATATTATGACGGTTGGATTTAATCGGAAGTGATCAGCAGGACTCGCAAAGAGAACAAAGCATGAGCTCAGGTGGGAAGGGTTTTTGGGAACAATGGCTGATTCGACTAAATGAAAGGATAAATGAAAGAACAAAGTCTTTCGACGGTAATCAACCCCGTCTGAGGGATGCGCCCTGCACTGGACTTCAATTCAGAATCGTAGTGGCGCGATGAGTGCGCATGTGGCCTATACA